ATCTTTAGGGGGGGGGCCTACCTTTCATGTGTGTATTCAGTGCCCACCCCTAATCTCTCTCAGAGCCTCAAGGTACTATTGTCATAGCAATAACAGGAGGTAGAGGAGGGTATTGTTTTCTTTACCTGGGCTGGTTTAGAGTCATATTTCAGGTAACATGAACCAAGCTCGCTCCTCCAATGTGTCAACTGTGAGGACATCCGGATGGAAGTGACATCAATTTAAAAGATAACAGCAAGGTTATCTAAGGTTATTTAAAAGATAACAGCAAGGAGCAGAGAGGAAGGCAGATGCGGGTTGTTTTGAAGGTCTGAGGCTGAGGCCTTGGTTAAGTAAGGCCTAGGGTAAAATTTTCAAAAGCACGTAAGTGATCAAAGAGTGTAAATCTCATTGACGGTCCAAGGGATTTGGAATCCTAGTGCCTGAGCCCCTTTTGATAATGGTCTGTGGAGTATTTTACTAGAAGTTAAAAGAAGAGCTAGAAGTTAAATCAAGAGCACAGCAAAGGAAATCAGCTGGGTTCCTACACCATCAAATCCCAGATGAAAGAGATGAGATGCTTTTCCATTGACAGCCCAAACCCCTAACCTCAGCTCTATCCTGTAGCATCAGTGATTTCTCTTGGCTGGAAGGGGAGAATGGGCCTGCCCTGGGTTCCCCCAACAGTGGATCCTCTCACCTACCTGGGTGTTTAGCTCCTAGGAAAGCAGTTTGTTTCTGTCTCCTGCTGGATTTTTCCCCTTCTGTTTGTGAAGCTTATGTGGAGGGGGAGGAAGAGCAGCCATTACCTCCACTCCAATCAGCCAAGGATAATTGCCTTCTTCAAGGCTGTCAAGTGGGGATGAGTTGAGTGAGGAAAATGTTAAACAGAAAGCTTGGAGGGGCTTTTTGAGTCTCATGGAAGCACGAAGTGCAAGATGGGGAAGACGCTGCAAGAGAGAATCCTGGATCCCCAGCAAAGGAGTCCTGCCCAACCTCCTACAGGGATGAGAACAGGGCTTGTGGTGGAAGTACACTCCTGACAAAAGCAATTTCCCTCCTCCCTGCCCTGCCACATGAAGGAGATCAGGAATATACGTGGTGCAGACTTCATCCCTTGAAAAGAGCGTGGAGCATATACCAGGCATATTTCATCTCTAGCACAAGCACCAAAAGCCCATCACAAAGATTATGGGCCCTTTGTGCAGGGTGCAGTACGTATGTGCAGTAAGAGAGAGTACCTGCCCCCAAAGAACAAAGCAAATAAGGAAAGACAAAGGTGGGAAGGAGCTGTTTAGAGATGAGACCCTGAGATACTAAGTAACAGGCCAAGGAAAGGAGATGGGGCAGGAGCTTTTTTGGTTCGAGGGAGACTGGCTCTTCTTCATCCTGTCATCGGAGCATGGGAGCTGCCTAACAGACTGGGAAGTGCTGAGGCTGAAGTGGGCTTGGAGACTGGGGAGGGCATGTCCTGGAGACAGCAGGGTGGGTATCACAGAGAGCTCCCCCCCCACCCAGTGAACGAGCCAGGCTCCTTGCCACCCACTTACAAAGTCAGCGGGACCCCAGGGCGAGTTTCCCTCAACTGGCAGTAGGAGGCAGCGACCATAATGGGTTCCCTCAGGGGTCTATCTAGAGTGCTAGAGTGGCTGAGCTGGATGAAAGAAGATCCCAGAACACATAGGACGTGGCCAAGATGGTGACGGAGAAGGGGCAGGCTATAGGCTGAGGCCACTTTGATTGGGTGTCTGGGGCTTGAGACCTCCTATCCTGGTTGTGAAGTAGCTGGGGAATGGGGTCAGGCTGGTGGCTGGAGCAGTGCATGAAGTGGAAGGAGCTGCTCAGGGCACAGCCCTGGGGCAGCTGGCCGTGGATGAAGGTTGTGGTTCACTGAGATCCCTTGTCCCTTGTATTCCCCAGATTCCATCTCCCTTGGATGTTGCAGCAGGGCTAGCAAAGGAGGTGGTGGGTGAGCAGGTAAATCCACAGCTCAGTTTCCAAGAGACAAGACTCTGCTTTGGGCTTCCACCCCTGGTGTCCCTCTGGTTTGAGGTGAGTATTCCCCATCCCACCTCCCTTTCCTCCTTCTCCCCTGCCTCACCTAAGTCATTGCAATTCCTCCAGTCCCAGAGAGCACAGAGCCAGCCTCTGTGGGTCAGCAGAGGGCACTCTTGCTCCAGTCATTCCCAGAGCTCTGCCTAGCAAAGCATCCTCTGGTCCCTTTCTGAATCCAGAGGTGCTGGGCTTTTCTCTGAGTGAGGACAGCAGCAGACTGCTCAGAGCAAGCTGGGAGGCTCCCGGGCTATATAAAGTGGAAGGAAAAAATAGAACCTCACCCAGTTACAGCCTGATCTTGGGAAGCTGGCCAGGCTACACAGCTGCCCAGTGCTGTGTGACAGCAGGGACACAGTTGTGGAGCAGTGGGAGAGTAGCGCGACCTCCCCATCGTTTACATGGGAGGTCAGGCTGTGTGATCCCTGAGCATCCGTGTCAAGAAACATGGGAACAAAGCATGGAAAAGCCCTTTTGGCAAAAAAAAAAAAAAAAAAAGTGGCTCTGTTCTATTTCTGCTGCAACGATCCCTGAATCCTCCCTACTGTGAACGAAACTCATCTTGGTCCAGGACTTTTGGAGTGTGTGTGAGATGCCCAGGCTGTGCGCTGGTTCCACTGTTGAATCTCATCTTGCCTGAGAAATAAATGGGTGCCTAATTGTCCACATCTTTGCAGGAACATAATAATCTCTCATGCTAATAGCTCATGGTGATGTTATGTTAACATGGGGGTCACTTTGAAATATACCCTTGGATAATGATGATAAACAATGTTACTGCCCCCAGAGACATCAGCCTGGGATTTGGCCCATATATTATGTTTATTATGTGGGCAGTGTAACATGGAAGTGTCCTTAACTCTGTACCCTGCAGGACAGGGCAGAGGATCCCCAGCAGGTAGGACACTGGTATGGGCTGCGGGAACCTCTGATTCCGTCCCTGCTCTGTTACTATTACTAACATCCTGTGTAACATGGGGCAAATCACTAGCTACTCTACATCTCAGCTCCTTATACGTGCAGTGTGGGTAGTAGGACTTCCTGATTTCTGTGGACCCTGCAAATATATGCACATCAAAGTTTATGAGGCTCTTGACTGTGCAGGTGGTGGGGTCTGTGTTTGATCAGAACACTTCACCAGATTATGGACTTCCTTTCGTGTTAAAAATATATCTTGTTGCTGGGTTTTTGCTCTCTGTCAGTATTGCCAAAAGACAAACCTGTCGGGCACTCAGATAAATCAGTTCCCTGAATTCTGTTCTATTCCTGTCCTTGAGAGCTGCCTCTCACCAGAGCGCATCTCCAAAAGCCACCTCTGTTTCAGACCAGGCAGTATCAGGAAGGGCCCAAAAGAAGCATTAGGCGTTCAGCTATTGGTTTTTAGGAGGAGCCATTTTCAAGATGCTGCCAGAAGATCCTTTGGTTTTCTGTAAGATGTTGGGGGAAACTGCAAGGTGGGAGGCAAAAGGGAGATGGTTCTACATAAGCCTTGGCACCATCAATAACTTTGAATAACCTCAAGACTGCTCTATTTATGCCTGCTAGAGCTTAGTGGAGGAGAGTGGGCCCCTCACCAGTCCCTAGGTTGTAGAGTTTGGGAATCAGGTTACATTTAAGATGGCTGCATTAGCTATCTGGAGAATGGCAGCAGGTTTCTTTGTGCCACTGGGTGACAATGAGGGTTAGAACCTTGTCCTTAATTGTAAGAGAGAGGTTTTCCTGTTCTTTGTTCTTGAGCTACAGTGTGGCATGGTTTGAATCTGCTATACAACAGACTGGGATGGCAACCTTAGCTACAGACAGGCAGCCTATATAAAAACAGCAGAAAATATTTAGAGAGCCAAAATGGGGGTTTTTTTCCTTGCAAACCAAAGCAAGATCCCTACCTGCTAACAGTATACCAGAGCATCCCATGTATCACACATTGTGCCCAGTCCTTCTTCCAGACAGCTCGATAACAAAGCATTTTTCATTGGCACCCTGTAGGACCAGGGGCATTATTTTCGCTGAATCCATGGAAGCTGGCTTGGCTCTAGCAGGGTCCCTAATGGCAATGGTTTATATCATAGGAGGTCTTGACAGAGTGGTAGACTGTGCTCCAAGGAGTGTGTAAGCTTGCCAGACCCAGGTGGGATAGGAAGAAATTTGCCCAAGGTCACAACAGTAATCGGTGGCAGAGCTGGGAGTAAAAGCCAGGCCTCCTGAGCCATGCTCCTGTGCCCTGCCAGCCGTGCCACGCAGCAAATTGCTAATAACTTTGTTTAATTACAACCTATTTCCTCCCAGTCCTGCTGGCACATTAATTTTCAAGGAGATTAAGTTTAAAGAGGCAGGAGCTGCCTGGCAGTGAGCGCAGGGAGGGGAAAGGCAGAAAGAACAGGAGAGGAAGCCTGGCTTCCAATCAGGAGTTGCCGCTTTAATGCCCTGTCGCTCTGTAGCAGTTTAAGGGATTAGGCGCAAACTTTGCAAAAAAGACCCCCCCGCCGTCCCCCACACCCCATCACCCCCTTCCCCTCTGGTGCAGGAGGCAGCTCTCAGGCTATGCTGATTCACTAAGCTAAAGTAATAGCAGGGCTAGGAGAAGAGCTGCACAGTGAGCCCCCTGCCCAGCCACCCTCTGGGCTGTGGGAGAAGGGCTGTGCCTACCACCTCAGCAGGGGCCAGGGGCTGGCACTGAAGTGGGATGGGTGGAAGGCACTGAAAAGCTGCTGCGGTGTTTGCCATCTCCCTCCCCCATCCATTGTCTCCTCCCTTCTCTCCCCTCTTCTGGTGCCTGCTGAGGGGATGGGACAGAGCATTGGGCTGCCTGACATCACACATCAAGGATGGGGAAAAGCAAATGCAACCCCCACCCTCCCTGCAGCTTATTTATAAAGCAGAAGAGGCTGACTCTCCCCACAGCAAGGCAAGGAGGGAGCAACGCAGCTTCGAGCTGGAGAAGACTCAACTTTCCCTGAGAGGAAGCGGAGGGGTGGGTGGGAGGGGGAAGAGAGAGACTTAGGAAACTTCTTGGGCTGTTGTGAGCCGTTGCCTCTGAACAGAAGCACCTGGGGAGCATAGAGAGCGAAAGAGAGACAGAGAGAAAGCAACAGCCAATGCTGCAGGCTGCAGCCGTGGAGGGAAGGAAGCTGTGCTGAGAACCAACTGAGAGCGGAGAGACAGCCCCTACCTTGCTCCTGCAGCACACAGCATGGGGAGCAGGGCACGGGCAGAGTTGCAGACCCCCTGGAGCTCCCTGGTGGATTCCTTTCTGACCTATCACTCCTGCCCTGGATTGGGCATCCATGGAGGCTTCTAATCTCTTGGACCTGAGGCTACAACGAAGCCGTGAGAGCAGGGACGCTTGGCTCCCGGTCTGCGCTTCTCTGAGATTTACTCCCTTCTTCTGCAGAAGACCACCTCATCTTCTTTCCCTTCCACCCGGCAGGACAAAGCCATGGACAGCCCTGAAGGGTACTCTGTCCAAGCCACTGCAGCCATTGCAGCCATCATCACCTTCCTCATCCTCTTTACCATCTTTGGCAACATCCTGGTGATCATTGCTGTGCTCACCAGCCGGTCCCTCCGAGCCCCACAGAATCTCTTCCTGGTGTCCCTGGCAGCTGCAGACATTCTGGTGGCTACCCTCATCATCCCTTTCTCCCTGGCCAATGAGCTGATGGGCTACTGGTACTTCAAGAAAACCTGGTGTGAGATTTACCTGGCCTTGGATGTCCTTTTCTGTACCTCCTCCATCGTGCACCTTTGTGCCATCAGTCTGGACCGCTACTGGTCTGTCAGCCAGGCCATCGAGTACAACTCTAAGAGGACCCCCAAGAGGATCAAGTGCATCATCCTCATTGTGTGGATGATCGCGGCCTTCATCTCCCTGCCACCCCTGATCTACAAGGGGAACAAGAAGGACAGTCCGCCTGGCAGACCACAGTGCAAGCTCAACGAGGAGGCATGGTACATCCTCTCCTCCAGCATTGGCTCCTTTTTTGCTCCCTGCATTATCATGATCTTGGTGTATCTGCGGATCTACCTGATTGCCAAGCGCAGGAACAAGAAGCCCACAAGCAAGAAGAAGGAGTCATCTAAGAAAATGACTGGCCCCACCTTGGAGACTTCAATCCAGGAGAAACTCTCCAAGCAGCTGGACACAGAGGAGCTCAATGGACATCAGGTGGCCATCGAGGAGGGTGATCAGGTGGGGACCCCTCCTCCTCCTGCAGACAGGACATCTCTTCTGAGATTACAAGAGGAGCAGCAGCAGTCACCACTGCCAGCCGTTATCAGCCCAGGTCCTAGCCAGTCCCAACCGGAGAAGAAGGAGTCTTCTGGCTCCAGCCCGCTGGAGCAGTCCCCTCATTGCAGCCACAAGCAGCGCAATGGGCACCCGCAAAGCTCTCCAAAGGGCATGGACACCCTGGCCACTGCCAAGGGGGAGGTGCTGCTGGTGAGGAGGGTGAAGACCCTGAGTGCCAACCCTGGGAAGAGGAAGACCCACCTCAACCGGGAGAAGAGGTTCACCTTTGTCCTGGCAGTGGTGATTGGGGTTTTTGTCCTCTGCTGGTTCCCCTTCTTCTTCCTCTACAGCCTGGGGGCCATCTGCCCAGAACTCTGCAAGGTCCCCAACAGCGTGTTCCAGTTCTTTTTCTGGATTGGCTACTGCAACAGCTCCCTAAACCCTGTGATCTATACCATCTTCAACCAGGACTTTCGCAAGGCTTTCAGGAAGATCCTGTGCAGGCAGTGGACTCAGACTGCCTGGTGAGACAAAAGCAGGGAGGTGGGAGACTGTAGGTAGTGGGGAGAGGGGTGGCTAGAGAGAGGAAGGAGGAACTGCATCCCTTCCACCGACTGTGTTAAAAATCCTTCTATTTATTCATTGGCTGATGTGTTTGGGCAGGGGACTCAAGAGTGCATTTTAAAGACTTGATTTTTGGATCAGCCTCTGTTTTTTTTGAGCTGTCTCTCTGTTGTTTCCTGCAAAGGGTTGAAAAACCAGAAGCTAGGGCTGTTTTGCCAACATGTTTTATACTGAGTAGGGGAACCCTGAACATGTGAATGATGCACAGGGTGGGACAAGGTAGTCCCTGCTCACAAAGTCTGCAGGTGGGAGTGGGTGAACCGCCTTTTGGGTAACAAAATTAGGAGTCTCAGCCAGTGCTGGGATGCAGATCTTTCCCCTTTGTCTTGTGGATGAGAAGTTGGATGACAGTATGTGTGTGGATGTCAGGGGGGAAAAAGTCTGTCAAGCCTCCCTCCTCTTTCCTGCTCCCTCCTCCTTGCTTAGGCAGGCAATGGCCAACTCAGTACCAGGAACAGCTGCCCTGTGCCCTTTTGTGCCAGCAGAACCCATGATCCCTGATGCATTTGCACAGCCCTCAAGTGCCAATGAAGAGCCACTGCAGCGAGGGCTTGAATCTGCAGGGCTCTGTTTCAGCAGGGTCAGGCAGCCAAATCACAGCTGGCCTGGCAGGGTGGGGAAGGGAGGAGTTCTGAACCTGTTCCAGGCTGGGACCCACATGCCCCCTGTCCCATGTATCTGAGACCCACCTCAAGTTTGAGATCTGTCCCTTCTACCTTACCGAGAGTCAGCGAAATCCCCCTCCCTGGTCTAGCTGAGATATCCAAGACTTCCCCTTTCATCTAGCTGGGATCCAGCTTGCAGGGGTCTGCCCCAACTATTGCTTTCCTGCTTAACAGCTGAGTAAGCGTGAGCCTCTGTCACCATACCTTGATCCCCAGATAAAGAACCAGTGCCAAATCCCACTGGCAGGAGCCCTTGTGTGGACAGCTCTCCCACAGCTGCCTCCCACATGGCAGTCTGTTGAGTGTGGGCTTACAAAGGTCAGTGGCTATAGGAGTGGTGTCTCCATTAGCGCCCTCACTATTGCCGCCCTCAATAGACCCACTCTGGGGTTAGCGGTAATGAAGTCTGGGGTGGGCTCAGAGTGGTGCACACAGAAGGGGCTGTCACACTGGATGGGACTGAGAGGAGAGAATTTTCCTTTCTTTGATTCCTTTTTTTCTTATGAAGGGAAGACTCTTCCTTTCTTCCTTTCTTCTCTATCATTTTCTTTATTTTCTACACACGCTATGCTCCTTCCCTCTTCTGCATGTACCCCACTCCTCCTCACCTCTCTGCAGAACCCAGCACAAAATCTGTGCTCAGATTTTTCTGTGAAACTGGAAGTCAGCAGGGTCAGTCCTGCTCCCTGCCCCCACCTCCCTTGTATTTCATGGCCTTATGGGCGCTCCAGGACTTGGTCATGATTTTGCTCCACAGCCTCTGACACTTCACCTCTGGGGTCAGCATCTCCTCTAGTGGTTTGTCTTGCCGCTGTTCATATGCCTCCCCCAGGCTGAACCAAATGCTCCCTCCAAATTAGATTCTGTTCACGAGGTGGAAAGCAGGCATTAAATCAAAACACCTTTAGTATGAATGCAGGTGGCGGAAAAAAAGCAGATAGTTAATCAAGGAAGTGTGAGCTGCTTTTATATTGTGTTTCTGTGTTTGAATCACTGTAAAAAATGACATTATAGTTTAATTTTGCACATCAGCATTGGAGCTGGGAGCAGGAGGGAGACTGCTGTTTTTACACTTCTTGGTTATTGTGGGGTCTTTTGTGTAATCTTCCCCCGTGGAGCTATGTTTAATAAGAGCAGATCAATACCCATGGCGTGGGTGTGAGCTGTGTCTCACCCAAACATGCCTGCTCTGATGGGATCCAGAACCTAGAAGAGTTGCCCTTGGCATGCAACATTGGGGGTTTTTGTTGTTGTTTTTTTAATTTAAATAATCCTATCTCACTGTAAGCCCTTTACAATGCCACGTGCCATGATCCTCACTTTGCAGGTGGTCAAACTGATTCCCAGAATAGAGCAGGGATATACTAGGGGTCAGGAAGCAGGGAAAAGAAACTAAGCATCCTGATTCTCCATCCTGGTCCTGCGGACTACGCCAGCTTCAGCTGGCTATTGAAATCGCAATTAGATGGTGAATTTTTAAGCACTTTGATACCGTCCGTGGCCTCCACATTGAAATTCAGTCAATCCTCTTGGCAGGCAACAGAGAAATGAAGTGTCCTGTGAATAGGTTTTGCCCCCATGCTGGTGGGAAAATAGACCTGGGGGAGCGGAGGAAAACTGATTGCTTGCTGACCCTAAAAACATCAAAGGGGACTGTGGGGTGGGCTGGCTGTCCCTAAACCTGTTGTAAAAGTGGGCGTATGCATCCAACTGGCCTGGTGTCTCTGATCATCCATTCCCATGGAGCAAGGGAATGCCATACAATGGGGCCAGGGGTTGGGTGCTTCTTTGGACCATGCGCGAGTCTTGCTGCCTCATGGCCCCATTTCCTAATGGAAGGAACTGTGTTTTGCCCCATGTCCGGTGTACGGAGTGATGTTTATGAAGAGTCTGAGCTATTTTGACAATAAAAGATATTTTGTAATAAGCCCATGTGTGCACTCTTTGAGGGCTGTACCGATGCGCACTGCTTACCCAGCATCTCAAAATGGGGGCGCGAAGTGCTTGGTTTGCAGTGGGGGAAACTGAGGCACGGGGAAATGGTGTTATCTTCACTGAGCCCAACGAGTCACGCTTGAACCGGAAGCACAAGGAGTTCTGGGGGACCGGTCCCACTCTCAGGTCCACGCTTCTTGTACCTACCCCCCTTTCTATAGGAGCCAGAGCAGATCCTTGAGAAATGTAATGCCCATGAAGTATTAGTCTGACCCTGTGAAAGCCACTGCCTTCAGTGGGGCTAGGATTTCACCCCGATCACGCTCCCTTGAGGCTGGACTCTGTTGGGCTCTCTGGGCAGGAGGGTTTGAGTGCATGTCAGCCCTGGGGGACACAGCAGAGGTGGCTTGGGGTGTCACAGTGCACCCCAGTGCAAAGCTGACTCCTCTGTGGGGGTATCTACAGAGTTACAGTTACGTCAGGGAAGGACTTGAGCTCTCCTTGACTCTTTGACTGGTCTAGGGAGCTCGCATGCTTCCTTCTGGCTTGGGGAATGAGGGGAAATGGGTCCCACTGAGGCAGGAGAAGGAGGCAGTGACCTCATGTTCCTACCCAGCTGCAGCGGGACTCCTCATAGACCACTTGACTTACCCTTTCTGACCAGCTGTGCATTGCGGGGTCTCCGTGAAGAGCTACTGACTCACTTTCTCCACTTTGGGAGCTGGAACAGAGAAAGGAACAATCCTTCAGCCAATTGCACCCCTGGGAGCCTATCCATCTCTCCTGTGAGCACATAACAGGCTGAGCTCTTTCTTGAGGTCTCACACAATGGCACTGATCACACTTTCCTGCACTGTTAAGCCTGAATCTTTTCCTTACAACCACACAGGTCCCCCTAACACAGGCAGTGGCCCAGCTCACCGCACACTGACATCAGAGCAAATCTAGAGCCCCTCAGTCAAAAATCAGTGTTGTAAAGCTAGTGGAAAGGAGATCAGGCCCTTCCTGGAAGCCTGTAGCTCCCATACCCCATGGCAAGGTCCCACATTGCCCTTTACCACTGGTTCCTCTCTCTAAATAAAGGGACAAGGCAGCTGGCCAACAGCTGATCCTACCAAAGGTATCCTGCCTGGGCAGCTCTCTCAGCTTGGCACTCCTCATCCCCAGATCCAAGCAGTCCGTAAAAGCTCCTGCATTCCCACCACCCTAGTTCTCAGGTCAGCCATTGGCCACAAACCCTGCTCTTTCCTCCCACAACCACACTCAGATTTTTCTTTTTTTTCCCTCCCTGGGACCAGTTTGTTTGTTTAAAGTTACGTGAACACATTTTGACTGCCTGCGAGCTGGCTCAGCGAGGCAACATGGGAAGTGAGCGGCAGGACCGGGGGAGAAAAATGTTTGCTGCGAGAAATGGAACAAAATGTTGCAAAGGTCGAGATCAGTTATTTCTGGAATGACAGGCAGAAAAAAAAAAAAATCCCCTGTAAGATTCAGGGAGCAGGGCAGCCTGCCTAGACCCCGTGCATACTGTAGGATTTGTCCTGGGTGACTGACTTGTGGTTTATTGTAGGGTAATGGATATAGGTTGCAGGCAGTGAGAGCGGTCTGTGATATGGGTACACAGCATCTAAAGCAGCCCCTGCCCCAAGGGGACTTCTGTCTTAGCAGGCAAAGGCTGGGAGGGGAGACACCAGCCCAGAGAGCTGTAGCATAAGTTCCTGGTACTGAACCCCACTGTCTTGCTTCCCTCTCTAAGACCCCATCCACTAGCTGACACTGGGCATGTCTACATATTCATTGGTGCACCTTAGATACTGCACATTTAGTTTAGTACTTGCTTAATAAAGTACTAGCTAAATACGGAGTAACTAGAGTTACTGCTCAGTAGCACTGGTGCATGGTTATTTGGTGATGCTTACTGCGCATTCGCCTAATTACACTGTGCAGGAGACTATTAGCACAGGTTTTAACTACCATGCTACTGTGCAGCGTGATTAGGCTAATGCGCAGTAAGCATCTTATGTAGATGCGCCCACTGTCTCCCATATGTAAAGAGGGGACGATTGTCTCCCCTGCTTAGAGAGGGGACGACCTATTTTTGCTGATGAAGCTATCACTGTTTCAGCAGTTCCTGGGTCTATTGGGACATTTTTTTTAACCTTGTTTGCCTCTTTTGGAAACTGATACAAACTGGAAATCACTCCACTGCAATCAGCAGATGCAAACTTGATGCAAAGAAGAGGGGAACCCCGGCCTCTGTGCTGGGGAAGCACGTGTCCTGCTTGGGACACGCTGTCCAGGCTTGTGAGGGTGGGGGTGCCGTGACATCACCCCAGGATGGCCTGCTGTCTCCCAAACACCTAAAGCTGCCAGAGACCATCACATGCCTGTGCATTGCAGCACAAGGATTAGACCGAAGTGTTCCAGACCTTTTGGATAGGCCACTTTGGCATCGGTTTCCAGTACGGGGGCTAAATGAACACTGATGAGGGTTGTTTTTTCCCTCTCCTCTCTCTGGTTTAAAAATGGTAAAAGGGGGAAAGTTTGGAGAGGAAACAAACCCCCCAAATCTGGATTGAACTCAACTGCTTCTTTTGCGAATCAGCCCTCTGGGCCATTGGAAACTGTCTGGCAATGTTTGGGATAGTTTTGATTTTCCAATTAGCTCCAGGCATGATGCATAGTCACAGAATGCCCTGTCCCAGCCCCACAGGCGCCACAGGGCCCAGGCAGGACAGAGGTCAAGAGAGGAACTGGGGTGGAGATCAGGGGCTTGGAACAAGGCCTCTGTCCCCTGCTGGCAGCTCTGCCCCTGGACAGAGCTGCCCCCCACACTCCAAGGATTATGTCCCGCTGCACGGCTATTGCCACAGAGGGGTTAATTCCTGGAGCTGGCACAGCTCCCCTAAAGCCGGGGCGTGCTGGGAATTGTTGCTCCCAGCCTCCGACAGCTTCCCACACATTTTACAAGGTCTGCTAGTCTTTGGAGAGCAGGCAGCGCACCTTCCAGCTGGAGCACAAGGTCCTCACAGGCTCCAACGGGCAAGAGCAGTTGCTGTCCAGTCTCTTGCTCCCCACTGGGGTGAGGCCTGCTTTGCTGATGCTGTGAGGGGCTTCATGGGAGTGACTGGGAGTTGGATCCCCTTGTCTCTGCTTTTTTCCCTCCATGAACACCTCTGCTTCTGCCTTCCCTTTTCTTCTTCCTTCCCCCTCTCTCCCTCCAATGAAACAGGCTCCATGCCCAACCTGCCATTTTTTTTTACCCTCCCCCTAACCAGGTGCTCAGGTCCAGGCCCCTTTGTCTCCAAGGCCACCCATCCTAGGCTCAAGGCCCAATTGCTTAGGGTGGTACCGCTCCACTCTAGGGGGTTCAGATGAAACGAGTGAGCTAGAGGACCCCCAGGGGGTGAAGGAGGAAGCTGCTGCCTGTTTTCACCTCCTTTTTCTCCTCATAGTGAAGGCACTGAATGGCACGCACCCCTGAGGACTGGGAGCTGAGGGAGGTCAGGAGGGAGTGAATGCTCATGGGAGGAAGCTGTGGCTTCTGCGAACATCTGGCACCATCCCCATGGGTCACCGGTTGCCCTGGGGTGTGGTTCTGGCTGGAAGAGGTTGAGCCCCAACACCCCAGGGGAAGCTCTGCTTCCCTCCACAAGATTTGTGATGAATTCTCCGCCAGGGCTCCCTCCCAGCAAGCTGGCATGGCTGTGGGACTGTCCGCCTGCCTGCCCAGGAGATCACTGGCAGTCCTTAGGACCAAATGCTAATCACAGCAGTATACACTGTGACCTGCTTAACCCCTCGAGCACCATGGTGTTTCGCAGAACCTGATGAATGCAAAATACAGTGCTAGAGACTCAGGGGCCGATCCCAGATGCACTGAGTAGTCACAGCATGCAGGAATTTCTCTGGGACTTGCTGGAGTTCAGCACTGTGGAAATTCAAGTGCTGTCCTATAGGGCCTGGCTTTCAGCCCTGTGGCTGAAAGGTTTAGCTCAACATATGGCGTTGGGAACCAGTTCCAGGCCTGGGTCCCTGGCTTATCAGGACACTGCCACTGGCAGCCCTGCTACAGAGCTGAGGTTAGACACGTCAGGGGACTGTGTTTGCCCCCAAAGTGGGTTTATCCAGGGTAGACATTAGCAAAGCTGTGCAGCAGACACTGGCTCAGCATCTGCCTACGCTGTCCCTGATCTGTGGCTTCCAGGACTTCCCTCTCCAGGGCTCTCAGTGCAGCCCCCTGCGCCAGCTCAAAATCCAATAAAGCTCAATGTCTTTGCACACCTATAACTCAGTGTCAGCACTCCCTGACATTGATTTAAGGCGGCTGCTGTACAGTTTCATATCTGAGTGCAGCACAGGGACAGCCCCTCTGCTGGTGCCAAGGGGCCAGGGGCTATGCTGATGTACTCCTGCCAGTTCACACCAGCTGGGGAGCTGGCCCAGAGTCTGTCGGCTTGCCTGCCTACCGGAAGGAGCTGTTTCCGTAGTCTGGTGACTAGTGACGATGGTTTATAGCGAAGGCAGATGAGACAAGCAAATCATCTGAGCTCAGAGACAAGAAGCCATTACAATCCTTCGCACAATAGCAAGGCAGCGTGCACGTGGAGAGACAAAGCAAAGCACCGACTTCCCGCAGAGTATCTCAAGGCTGTGTGACAGAGCCCTACGCTTCTCCTGCACTTCTGTTTACAATCGCACAGTCATGACTGAATGAGCAGCCTGCAAAGCAGAGCTGTGCTGCTCTTTCCACCTCACTGATAGGGACCTGTAGCACAAGAAAGGCTAAGTGACTTGCTCAGGTCCTGCTGTGGGTCACTGGCAGAGTTTGAAGTTGTCCCAGGCAAGGTCTGTGGATTGGGACATGCTGGCTGTACTGCTCTCTCAGCTTGCAATGGGGAAGGGTTGCTGCAGCATGGTGCTTGATTGGAAGATCCAGAAGCATGGACTACTTCATTCCTTGCTGATATAGCTGGGTGCAGTTGGTGG